AATAATGAAAAAATAATAATACATCTAAATAATATGATGAGATGAGACTCAAGATTGAGATTGAATCATCAGTATATAACTTCATCTGGTCAGACTTGCTCTAACATTTTTTTCTATAACAAACATGCTTTCAAAACACACAATTACAGCAGCTGGAAAAAACAAATATTAAAAAGTCAATGGTCAAGAACCCAAATAAAGCAAATGCTTATCTCCTCAACGGTGATTTCAAACTTTATTATTTTCAATAAAACATCAACATCTAAACCTCTGTTAATTCTCAAGAAATGTGTATAAAAGAAATAAAGTCAGACTGGTTTTTAATAAGTGAAAATGCTGGGATCTAGAGAGATCTGAGTTTTGTGGGTTACCATTGTGCTGAAGTGTAGAGTCTGTGCTTCAGTCCAGGAAAAGACCAAGAAACATTGATGTTTTGCTGCATGTTGCTTTATTTAAAAGCAGTAATTGTTTAGCTGCTGATACAGTCATTACATTAGCTAATGGTTAACTGCATGATATTTACATTTTACAGAAAGGGTTTCAAAATAATAATCTGTGAATTACTTATGAAATAACAGCATTTTGTGTAAAACATTTAGGAAAAATTAGGATATAAATTCAGATTTTTTTTCTTTAACCGTTGTTTTTATTAATAGTAAACATTTGGCACCCTGTGCTGCCATGCCTTTCAGAGTTGTCTCATAAGACATTGAACACAAAACAATTTGAATATTTGAATCTTTTAAGACACAGACAGACATCAAGAATCAGCATATGAATTTCAACAGCGTTGACAATTCAGGCTGCAATGTATGCTGGGAGTTATGATTGAGTTTTCTCTAGTGTACCCAGAATGCATTGCAGCATGAATCATGTCACCGCTGTTGAGCATTTTTCATGTAAAAATTTAAATGTTCTTCTATCACAGCTTAATGCTAACATGCTCTCTCACATGATCACTATAAACAATAATATGAAACTAATAACACATCACCAAAAACTTAAGTGAAAATATTAAAGGAACACTCCACTATTTCTGAAAATAGGATCATTTTCCAACTCCCCTAGAGTTAAACAGTTGAGTTTTACCATTTTCGAATCCATTCAGCCGATCTCCGGGTCTGGCGGTAGCACTTTTAGCTGTAGCTTAGCATAGATCATTGAATCTGATTAGACCGTTAGCATCTTGCTCAAAAATGACCAAAGAGTTTCTATATTTTTTTCTATTTAAAACTTGACACTTCTGTAGTTACATTGTGTACTAAGACCAACGGAAAAAATGAAAAGTTGCGATTTTCTAGGCCGATATGACTAGGAACTATACTCTCATTCCGGCGTAATAATCAAGGAACTTTGCTGTCGTACCATGGGTGCAGCAGGTGCAATGCTATTATGCAGCGCCTGATGAAAAAAATATAGAAACTCTTTGGTCATTTTTGAGCAAGATGCTAACGGTCTAATCAGATTCAATGATCTATGCTAAGCTACAGCTAAAAGTGCTACCACCAGACCCGGAGATCGGCTGAATGGACTCAAAAGTGTCACACGTTTTGATAAACTTAGAAACATCCTTTTATAACAAGGGCCAATAAAAATGTCTCAAAATTTGAACTTAAGTTTTCTTAACCCCCAGATGCACCGCAACGGGACCATGCGCTACATTGAGTACTACCTGCCGCAACTTAGTAGGTAATACAAACTGTACCACCAACTCATCCCCACGGACCTCACTCTGGGACATCCATTTCCGTAACAGCATCCCATCTTGTAGAAAATACCCGAATGCTGCACTTTGCGCCTCATCTGGAGACAAAACAGCGCTAAATAACTGGGACAACATCGGGTCCTCCTGCTGCGCAGCTGTTAACTCTGCACTGGAAAAAGTGGGGAGAAGAGAAAGACCAGAAACAACATAATGACAGGACTTCTGCCAAGGAGCCTCCTCGAACTCTCCATGCATAAACTCATTAGCTGCTTTAGTTTTAGACCGAGTCACAGCACACGATGGAAACACATTTGAAAATTCCTCGGCAGCAACATCGACCGGACTGACCGTAGACAGCGAAGCAACAATGGGTAACCCCTCCGTCACAAACAGAATATAACTCTGGTTTAATCCCAGCAAACATTCATTCCGCGGGACAACCCGCAATGGTTTCTCATCAGGACAAAGCTTGGGACGAACAAAACCAGTCAATAATACTGGAGAGGAAACATTTTGCGATCTTATCAAACCTTTACCATGCATTTGTTTACTTTTGAGGACAGGACATTCTTTTTTCCAATGCCCTTCTTCAAAACAATAACGGCACATAGAATCAGGAACAGCTCTTGGAGGTGCATTTGGCACTTTATCTGCTTTTAATAAATCAGGTTTCTGAAGATTAAGGTCTCAAGAAACCCACACTATTATTCCTACCCCTATTCAATCTATAGTCAACTACCCTATTTTTGTGCGTTACCACAAAATCATCAGCTAACACTGCAGTCTCCCCAGCAGTCCTAGGCTTGTTCTCATTAATATAGGTGGTGATATTTTCTGGAACAATACTTTTAAACTGCTCAATGAGAATCAATTTTTGCAGGCCCTCAAATGTACGTACACTGGAAGTAGAACACCAGCGGTCAAAATGAGTAGTTAATTCACGAAGAACTTCAACATGGCTTTGTCTGTCATTTTTTTTCAAGTGCGAAAACTTAATCGATACGCCTCTGGGACCAATTCAAAAGCTGTAAGAACTGCAGCTTTTACCTTCCTATAATCTTTACGATCCTCCCCTGAAAGCACAGTATAGGCTTCTTGAGCTCTACCAACTAACACTGACCGCAGCATAATTGTCCGGTCAGTGCTAGGCCAAACCAGTTTATCAGCCACACTCTCAAATAACAAAAAAAATTATAATAATAAAAAAAAAGTTAAACTTCGGTAGCAACTTCAAGTTACTTACTAATTCCCCAGACCGATCGCATTCTCTAACACCATCTGCAGACAGTCTTCCATCAGTCATAAATTTCAGTCGTTCTATTTGTACGTTTTTCATATTCAATTTCTTGTTTCAATTTCCTGCTTTCGCTGCTTCACCAAATACTCAGCCCTCAGTTTTGCTAACTCAGTTTCCTTTTCTTTTAGCTCTCTCTCACATTCCGTAGCTTGCCTATACATTTCTTTTTCATGAGCCTGTCTTAACTCCAATATTTATTTTAGTTGTTCAAATGATAAATTACTCATAGAAAAATCAAACTTCCCTACCTCTATATCAGCCGTTTTGGACACCTCCATCAGCATGCCACAATCGACCAACTTCCCTTTAATCAGCGCTCTCAACTCGTCTTTTCGCAAGAGTTTATCAATCCCAACCAATTTATAACTCTCTACAATCCCCCATAACTTCTGCTTCGAACACAAATTAATTGTTTCTTCTGACGGGGAACTAACAGATTCTTCTAACAAAGTCATACCTAAGAAATTGGACTTAATTTTCAACTAAGCGCAGTAGTGACAATTAATATCACATCATTTTCTAACATCAGACACGATAAGCAATCTCGGCTCACAATCAAATCTCCCCCTAACTATCCCATACCCCCACTATATAACTCAACCCTAACTCTTCTGTGCTTTCCCAAGAGTCGAGCCTCTTTAAGCATCTAATACCATTGGTGCAAAGCTGAACTGCCAGTCCAGATCTACAACCACGGCCGTGCACTCAACCCAGTAAAACACCACAAAAAAAAAAAACCATTAACAACCTATCCGGGGAGCTTAACTAATAATTTATTATGCGCCACATTGACTTACCATTTCAAAGCCAAACATGTACGAACTGGCTGTTCACGGAGTGCTGTATCCAAGCATGTTAACAGAAAGTTGAGTGGAAGGAAAAAGTGTGGAAGAAAAAGATGCACAACCAACCGAGAGAACCGCAGCCTTATGAGGATTGTCAAGCAAAATCGATTCAAGAATTTGAGTGAACTTCACAAGGAATGGACTAAGGCTGGGGTCAAGGCATCAAGAGCCACCCCACACAGACGTGTCAAGAAATTTGGCTACAGTTGTTGTATTCCTCTTGTTAAGCCACTCCTGAACCACAGACAACGTCAGAGGCATCTTACCTGGGCTAAGGAGAAGAAGAACTGGACTGTTGCCCAGTGGTCCAAAGTCCTCTTTTCAGATATATATTGATATGCATGTATATATATATATATATATATATATATATATATATATATATATATATATATATATATATACACTTTATTCTTTTTTATTTTTACAGTGTGGCTATATAAATTCTCAAATTGACCCGAAGGAGAGGATTAGGGACACTTTACAATTTTTTTTTTACACCCTCAAAAACTCATATAATCTAGTCATTCATTCTTTTATTTATTCAATTATTTACTTATTACTTTATAAATTGTCATGAATTAAATTGGTCTGATTCTGTAAATCACATTGTTTTTGCAGAATATGCAGTCAATTAACATGTTTCTAAATTATTCAATTTTCTATGCCGGCTTTCCCAATAAAATAATTGATGGTGGGGGCACTATCAACACCTAAGAGCACCCATTTTTATATTCTGTCACTTACTTTCTTTCCTACTGTACATTTTATAAAGTAGGCTAATGTTGACCTATTTACTTTCAGATACGATGTTGCCATGAATGTACATTGAACCAGAAATGTAGAATGGTTTACAGTAAAAGGAATCTGAATCATAAAAAACAATGGATTTCATATTGTCTGTTCTTTTGTATGCAGGTAGAACTGAAACATAAATTAGTGCAGTTTTTCTAATTCCTTCAATTGTTAGCTCAAGCATTAGAGACTGGTGTTTTTATGTTTGTTTGTTTGTTTTTTCATTGTTTTCACAAGGAGAAAGAAATTTGAAATCATTTTTTTTTGCCATGAATATGAAACTAAACCCAACCTGCATTCTTAAATAAAACACTATGAATAAAAGTTAGTACTGTGTGCCATATCATATAAAATATCACTATGGAAACCAATCCTTCCCAAGCACAGACAGAAACACAATAATGGTTATTATGTAGAGAACCAAGAAGGTCACATCTGTCATTCTTGACACGCTGGTCCAGCACAGAGATGCCTTTTCTTGTTGGTTTTGTTGAGTTCCAGCCAGATACTCAGTTAAAATCTGCTTCAGAAGGTCCAGAGTACAAGATTGTTCTTCATTCTGGTCTCTGACTGAGCCTTGAGGGCGCTGCAGGGATCTTATAGCATCTGTGAGACAAAACATGGCTCTGGATTAACACTATATTTCTTAATTATATTTCTTTCTACTATATTTCTTCTGTGTAAACCTACCAGCAGTTGTGGTTTCTATTGATGCTGCTGATCTATTCTCTGCTCCTCTGGCCATCAGAAAATTCACAAGGATGGTCTCCAGAATGCTGAAGCCAATTAGACTGAAAATCACACTGCAGTAAATCCCTGTGAAGACAGCAGTATGACTGCAACAGGTAAATGCCTCTGAAATAACACCTTGATGGATTATATCAGTGGTTTTCAATCCTGGTCCCACCCACCACTTTACACATTTTGTATGTCTCTCTTATCTGACACACTCAGTTCAGTGCATGGAGCAGAGATTGTCTTACTATTGGGAGATGAGAGGCTCTGTATTACTTACTATAGGAGAAAGTATAATGGTCAACTTGGATCACATGTGCCTTAAAGGGGACCTATTATGCCCCTTTTTACAAGATGCAAAATAAGTCTCTGATGTCCCCAGAGTGTGTATGTTATGTTTTAGCTCAAAATACCCCACAGATCATTTTTTTTATAGCTTGTTCAATTTGCCACTTTTAGGGTATGAGCCAAAACGCACCATTTTTGTGTTTGTCCCTTTAAATGCAAATGAGCTGGTGCTCCCGCCTCCCTTTTCAGAAGAGGGCTGAGCTTCAAGAGCACAAGACTCCTATATTCGTTGGTGCATCCCAAAACACAACACTTGTAATGCATGTTTGGGGCTGACATTGTATATCTCCAGCAGCTACAGCAAGAAAACAGTAATGGCAGACTGCTGCTTCTCACTCAGGGCTGTGTCTATGCTAATAGGGCAGAGAGCGACACAAATGGTCAGGACTTTTTCCCTTCCGTGACGTGTACGTAGGGAGAATTTGAAACCGCTCGTGTGCAGAGACTGTTTATTATTTATTGGGATTATAAAAAAAATGAGTGGGTCGATTTTTACCATTATAGGCTGGTTGTTTTCACACACTGCAGTCACACAACTGTTCAAACGCCTTATACAAAATAGTTTTACATAATAGGTCCCCTTTAATAACTAATCACATTACAGTCTTGACGTCATTGAATTTCAGTCCGAGTTGTGCGACACTCAGTCGCCGTTTACCGATACCATAGGAATGAATGACAAGTGCCGTAAACTGAATCCCACCTGTCGCAAAAAGTCAGTGACTTCTCTTATAAAACAGCATTTTTTTTCGGTATAAACTCTAAAAATAGTTCAATCCAAAAGTATTGTTCAGTGTAAAACATATTGAAGATTAGCCGATAGGCTGTTGATTCATTAAATGATAAACTGTTTCCTTGAAAAAGCTGTTTATTCATTGTAGTGAAAACTCTCCGCCATTGGCATCCATTAAAAAAAAAACAGCCTCTGGTCTCCTTTACCACGTACTGCCAAAACGGAAGCGTTTGCATTAGCCGTTACGCTTTTTTGGCAAAAGGTTGCATGCAGGCTTGCCTTCTAGTGGCTTTGCATGGAGCTCTCTCCTAATGAGCTTATGATCTGAATCAGGTGTGTTAAATAAGGTAGACACACAAAATGTGCAGGGGGGTTCTCAACTCTGGCCCTGATGTCCACTTTGCTGCAGGGTTAAGCTCCAACCTTAAAGTCTGTGTAAAGTAATAATAAATATGTGTTCTGAGCTTGTCACACCACAGAAAAATGATAAAGCCGAATTTTGGTTTTGATACCTTATTTTATTTGCTTGGTGTTTTTATTATTATTTTTTTTAATCATTCTTATTTGGCTGGGTGGTTAATAACACACCTGAACAAGCCTGAATCACAATGAATCACCTGAATCAGGTGTGTTAAAATAAGGAAGACATTCAAAATGTGCAGAGCAGTGGTACCCCAGTGGTCTGTAGCACGAGGCCAGTTTCAGGTTTTACCCAGTTAAGTTCACATTTAGTTTGAGAAAACTTTAATTTTTCGGGCTCAAGAAGGTGGGTTGGTTTTTTAGCGGGTTTCGTCGCCATGGTAACTTACACTACACGGCTACCCTGCTCCGGAGCAGGTTTTATTCTGTGTTAGAGATCACAAATCCAAACTGGACCAATCATCTGTGAGCAAAGTAACATAAATCTGATGCAATGAAGCCACTCCCCCGTATCTCTCACTCCAAATTAAAGCAGTTTACAGTCAAAGAATTTTAAAGACAAAAAGTCAGTATATACATATATAAGCTATTTACTGTATACAGGCTATACACACACATACATATACTGTAGATAAGCTTTACTATATCCAACTTTTAAAATGCATAGACATATTTTCTTTCTGCTGCCAAACTTTTGCTGCAGCAGAAGTGTTTATTCCTGCCTTGTAAATGCATTTACATTTATTAAATTTTTAATAACGACATCTCTTAACCTTCAGCAGAAAAGTGAAATGCGCTGACTCTCGCGAGAAGTTTGACGCTTTGCTGATGCTCTCCACACGTTCCCTGTGATTGGTTGTTTGCTGAATGTGTGTCACACATTAATCACAAACTCTGGTTCAAACTCTGAGTTGGGAGATAAGGTTTATATCGAGCTTTGTGAGCCCAGTGAACCTGGGGCCCGTTCTTCGTACGTTGCTAACTCAGTTAGCTGGATTTGATTGATGACGATTTTTCATGATCTTGGATTGTTTGGTTCTTCGAAGCTCATCCCGGAGTTGCTGTAATAGCAACAGGTCCGTAAACTTAAACCTGCTCGGGAGCAGGCTTATTTCATGTAAACAGGATTAGATTGCATCTTTTTAAGCAGAACTGATACTTAAAATCTGTCTGCTACCACTGCTACTTTATTACAAGAGTATCCTACTGATCCAGGGACAATAATTTTAAATAATAATCATTTAAAAATTATTTTAAAGATAATATAATAATGTTGTGTAGTCTTTAATACTATAGACACAGACAGTTTTACTCACTGAAAGATTTATTCGTCATAAATGTATTACTTCATAATTGATTTTGAGTCTTACACACATGCTATACAGATAATGTATCTCGTGCATTAATTTGAGTGGTGACAGATATTATGGGAGTGGCTTGATGGAGCGCAAGAGATGCAGATAACATGATCTTGGCACTTAAGAAACTTTAAATATAGACACTTAAGAAACATTAAATAAATCTGTCACGTAACAAATCTGTTCAAATATAAAATTAAATGAATTGCTAATTGCTACATTGAAATAAAAATGTAAAGCCTGTACAAAAATTTGAACTCGTGAATATAATTCAATTGGGAATCATGTAAAAAAAAATTATAAAATAAAAACACATTTCATTGATCTATTATAAAATGTATGTAGTTTTGTTCGCTTGGCTGTTTCCTTATAAAAGTCCAGAAATTTGTCAAGTTTTTCGTCAGGTGTCTTTTTTAATTATATGATTTCATTACGTTGCTGTCTTGCCGCCAGCCAATCGTTGCATTGCTGATCATGGTTTAGAGTATCAATACATAGCCCCTTTTAAACCAACCCATGAACACGCATTTATCTCAGATAACTCAATCCAGCCATACTAATCATCAACAGCAGCTGCGTTCGAAGAACCGAATTAGCCAGATCCTGATTAGCGCGACGATATCATCTTGTGTTGTGTATTTTGTTAACGTTGTTTATTTAACTATATCTCCCGGAATGCAGTGTTATGTTGTATCTGGAAGTGTTCCGGTAAAAGTTGATATATGAAAAACCTGTAAAGAGAGCAGTCACGCTAAATCAGTGCAAGTGTCATAAGTGTTTAAGTGTGCCGTTCATTCTTTCTAAAGACACAACATCTTGGATGTGACATTTCATCTCGGATGTAATAAGCGACACACGAAGAACGGGCCCCAGGTTGGCTTTATCGGGTTTTGTCAACTCAAAACTTACTCTGCAACTCTGAGTTTGTTCATCTCGCTTCGTGCTACAGGCCACAGCACTGGAATTGAGAACCACTGAGATATGCTGTTGGGTATTTTCTTTGCACTAAGTGTTAACAGTAGTTAGATGATATGTGCACTGTGTAAATATTGTTTGAGTGGCATCAGCAGATGTTAGACTCACCAATCAGTGGGATTTTATCAGCTGTAGAGGGCAGCGTGTCATTTAGAATCAGCAGCAACACAGAAATAGACAGCAGTAAAGTCACTTTAAAGCTCAACTTGTCTGTTCCACTTGCGTCTATGAAGAAGGACATCACATCCAACACAAGAAAGAAAAATACTGGAAGTATGATGTTGATGACATACAGCAGAGGTCTCCTCTTTATGGTGATCTGCCATGTAGAAACAGAAAACATATAAACCAGTGGTTCTCAGCCATGTTACTGGAGCCCAAACACCAACACGTGAGGTGCGATCAAGTCAGAGCAAGATGGTGATGCACCATTTCCACATCTTTTTTTTTTCAACTTCTACAAAATGTTAAATAATGTGTATTTTTGCTTTTTTATGTTTTTATTCAAGTTAATGATGGTTTTATATATATACAGTGTTGGGAGTAACACATTACAAAAGTAACACCATTACAGTAGTATATTACTTTTTGCTGTAATGCAGTAATCAGTGTTGGGTTAGTTACTTCCAAAATGTTATACATTATATATTATTTATTACTGTCTTTTAAAAAGTAATTACAAATTAAAATTACTGTCTCTGAATTGTAATGGAGTCTTCACTGTCATCAACCTCAGTGTGAATAAGGTTGACCATTTTGTCCTCCAACACAACTGTAAGATCACATGTAAACAATATTTTAATTTTAGAGCATTTCCTTAGGCAGCACCAACTAAAGAAAAACCTACTTTTAAAGCCAAATGAAATATTATGCTTTTTACATGCACTGGTCAATTTGGAGATTTTGGGCTATTTTGCCTCCATAACATGACTAGTGGAAAGAAAAGCAACAATTACAATACGTTTCTATAAAGGCTGTTTCTAATTAATTTTTTCTCATGCCCTGAGCCGAACATTCCCAGACTTTCCATTTTTTACAGAGAGGTTTGTTCATAAGTCAATCCCATTTATTTATATTACATTTTGTTCCTAAAATTGTTTTATGGCTGTTACAGCATTTTCTGATTTATGATCAAAATTGAAAAGGAGCTGTCCAAAACCTCCTCTGTGAAACCTTCAACACTTACATTTCTTCTATTGTCATCATTTGTAAGTCGCTTTGGATAAAAGCGTCTGCTAAATGACAATGTAAATGTAATACTTTTGAGTTACTTTTGAGTTTCTTTCACTTTCAAGCACAAACCACAATTACATTCAGTAAATAAAGCAGAATTATAGGCCCTAATGTACAAACAATAAACACAATAGCTAGCCTATAAGTTATTTTAGTTCTCCTTGCCAAACAAGCCAAAACTAATTAATTTAAAGGGGTCATATGATGCGATTTCAAGGTTTCCTTTCTCTTTGGAGTGTTACAAGCTCTTGGTGCATAAAGAAGATCTGTAAAGTTGCAAAAACTAAAGTCTCAAATCCAAAGAGATATTCTTTATAAAAGTTAAGAGTCAACCACGCCTACCTAAAACACCTCGTTCTAACCCACCCTCACATATCTACCTCACTATGTGGGAAGATTTGCATAACTCCGCCCAAATGTTCACGCAAAGAAAGAAGGCGTAACTTTTATTCTCGCTGTAGTATTGTTGCCGCCGCCGCCATGTCGTGAAGGCGCTGTGTGCTTCGTTGTGAAAGCGAAACTACTTTGTTTGGTCTTCCAAAAGAGGACGATATCGCTTCGTCATGCCTAGAGCTGATCCGTGCTGGTCGCTGAGGAACTACTTCAACTTTGCGCTGTGGATCGCCGGATCGGCTTTCACCGTGGAGGAAGCCAGCCCGGGGTCGTCACATGTGGTTGCCGCAAGCATCACAATATGGTAAAGGACGTAACATTTCCATCACACACTTGAGGTATTCGGCCAATCACAGCACACCTCGCTTTATCAGACCGATGAGCATTTCAGAAAGGCGGGGCATAGAGGAGAAACAATAATGTACAGTATGTGGAAAATAATGTGTTTTTTTAACCTTAAACCGCATAAACACATTTCATTACACCAAATACACACCATAATGTTCTTTTTAGCAGCATCATATGACCCCTTTAAAAGCTTCTTGAGCAGCAAATCAGCATATTAGAATGATTTGTGAAGGATCATGTGACAC